TCGAGAGCGGATCGAGGGGAGCTGCTTGGCGTGTGCTGCGTGTGTATATATTAGTTTCACAGGACCACGATTCGGTGAGAGACAAGGCTGATGCTTGCGATCGGCTAATCGGAATAACGGAGATGGCAATATGATTGATCAATATGGTTGTGCCACCAGTGCTACGGATCCCGGTCTCGCACCGTACGTTGTCTGGAACCAGAATCACCGCCGGTGCAACCATCACCCACCTTTGCAACATCAGTACACCCCGTACCTGCGCATCTACGACTCTAGAGTACTTCTACACGCACTCTCGATAGTCGACATTACCATTATCTACATTACTCGATAAATGTACAGTGTCTCGTGGGTGGTAAAGTCGCGTTCTTAATTTCCAATTAAGACACTTTCATTTTTTTCTCGTCGTTTTTCGCGTTCAAATCCAGAGAAAGCAAATCCAATTACGAATTACTTCGATTCGTTACTTCGACACCGTGTTCAATTGGAATTGAATCGCACGACGATTGCAATTGTCGACTCGAAAACGATTTATCTCAAACGAGTACGATTCGATTAAATCTACGTACCACGCTACTTTCCACTCTACTAGTTTCACACGTTTTCTCTTTTACAGAGAAAATTTGTATTTCCGACTCGTGTACAGATGTATACATATCCCCGCGTATCTGACCTATCTACATACGTTTAGAAAGACTTTTCGCTCGCGTATGTATATATGTCCGCCGTGTGTACAGTATATATATATACATATGTATACATAATGATACTACCTTCTGTCTGTTCAAATTCATTTCTCAATTAATTTTGATAATTACTCGTAAATACGTAAATACGTAAATACGCACGTCGTATCGCACGTTTAGCAATCTCGTGTTTCCTCGACAGCTCGACTTTGTAAGAAGTTACTTGAGAACGGTTGGCAAAGAACAAGGCCCATCGGAGGAAGAACGACTCGTGACGGAGATAAAGATATTCTGTCTGGCTAGTCACTTGTTCTGGGGCCTCTGGAGTATCGTCAACGCCAAATTATCAGAAATTCCATTTGGTTACTGGGTAATATAATAATAACAATAATAATAACAACAACACGAGTCAATCTGTCCATAGTAGAATCTATTCCTTCCCCTGTCGCAATTTTTCCTTTCGTCACACGCTTTGCTCACTTTTCGTTCTTCTTTCTGCAGGATTACGCAGTCTCCAGATTGAAAAATTACCAATATTTGAAGGAAAAAATTATGGTTTCCGGAGGATCGCCGACGACGGTCCAGGACGAAAACGACGAAAACGACGAAAACGATGAAACCGACGGTGTCAAAAAAATAACCATAGATTGAACGGATCGACAACAGTGTGGTCGAGCGTGACTGTTTCCTTCTCTCTGCGACAAGTGCTAAAACTCTGTGCTGCCCACCATGTTTTCACCGCGCTCGTGATTATCTTGTCAGATATTCACCGTGTCAGTTGTTTCTCGTTGTTTCGTGACGATACGCGTCTGCCGTTTTTTTTTTTTTTTTTTTTTTTTTTTTTTTTT